AATTTCAAGAAGTTAAAATTGTAATTTTATCGACCGCATTATTATTTTTAATATTTTTTAATTTTGAGAATTTTGCAATAAATTCAAATGCTTTTTATTCTTTTTTAAATCTTTTAACAATAAATAATAATTTGAAAATAATTTGTGACTTTTTACTTTAATTTTACATTTAAATCGTAATTAAATAGCTAACAAAATATTGAAAAAATAAGTTTACTTTGGCTTAATATGTAAAAAAATAACTTTTTAAATGAACGGTAGCTTCATTTACTTATTTAATAATAGTAAAATAATTCCGAAATTGAAATTTTAATTAATATTTCGTTTAACAACAATTTTTGTGACATTTTTGTAAATTAAAAAAAAAAATCAGTAGAAAAAAGATGCATTTTTTCTGGGGTTCAGTGCTATTCTACGAATTCGTAAATATGCCCATTGTTATTTTTATTCCGATATTTATTTTTAGTTATCTTTTCTGGTCATCCTTTGTAGTAAATAATTTTACTCCCTACAAGCTGTCTGTGAATCATTTTTCGCTAAAATTGATGGTTTTCCCTGCAAAGCGAAAAAACTGTTTTCCTCACTTATTTGTTTAAATAGAAAAGTTAGCTAATAAAATTTTTTGAATCACGAGATGAGGGATGTCTTGTATAATGTTCCTTTAGACAATTTTACAATAATCTCGCGGATAGGACTTTTATCGAGTTTCTCTTTTATTTTCGCTAATTTTCCTGGTGAAGTAATGCCCAACTACAGACGTGTCCAGTCAGTCAACAAACACGAATTCGACACCCGCAGATAACCCACTTATCTGGAGGGTCATCATCAGCTGTCCAAACGCAGCGCTGACTTCCTTTATCAGCTCGAGAGGAAGGAAACCGTTGGTCGGGGCACTTCCGGTCATATTCTACGCTAAGTGCGTTCGTGACGAGGCACAGCCAAACGCTGCACTTACAGGGTGGTCCGCGTAAGCTCAAGGCTTTGTTTTCGACTCAAGAAAACAACTTGTTAAAAAGTGCCTTGAATATAGTGTTAAGTTCACGTAAATTAATAATTCTACACTGAGAAAACGCAACTATGTACTTTCTAACGCTTGTTTTTTATTTATGGTAGTTATTTCGCCCTGTAAGTGTCCTAGTATGCCGGATTATCATAAGCTAAAGGTCGCTGCAAACATGTGTCTTACACATGCTGTACTGTTATGGTTATATTTACTTTTAAGATCTGTATGTGTGGTAAACCATTTACTATATTTAGCCGGCCGCTGCGAGCCACTCAAGCCGGGATTTTTACTCATTACAATTTAAAATATGACGTGTTTTTGTTTCCGATACCAGCTGTTAATCAATTTAAAGAGATTTAAAAGTTCATATAATTCATATTGCTACTACAATCAGTGACTCACGTCCATTCATATAAATTGACTGGATGTGTTTACATTTTGAGCCAGAATCAATCGATTGCAATGTTATATTTTTAGGGTCTTACTTGTAACGTGTGATTGGGTTTGCGATTCATTTTAAAACCCAACGGAAGTGACAAAATGAGATAAAACTACGAATACCCTGATTCAACTGTTTATTTTTAGTATTTACTTTTTAATTCCGGAAAATATAACATAATCGGTGTCATATCTAACTTTAAACAAACCGTAAGCCTTCGGCGTATCATGGCTATAAAAAATGACACATGTCTGTGTTGTGGTTACGGAATATTATAGTTATTTACACCATAAATAAGGTAAGTATTATTTACCAGTCGAAGACGATTTTGCGTCCGAGCGGAGCGAGGGCTGGCAATAGAGTCTGAGACTGGTACATTTTACTTAACTGCTGAGTGGTATATAACATTTTATGTGTTTCCACAGTTCTTTATGGTTCATGAAATAAAGATTAGGTTTTATTTTTTGACATTTCTTAATTCATTGTGACATTATTCAAAATCTTGCAAAGTCGTCTTGGTTGTTTGGGTTTTGTCGTTTCCAAGCAAAGCTACATAAAAGTTGGTAATATTTTACGCTTGTTTATGCGCTATCAAGCAGGTAGATGTTACAACCAACCAGTCGGCAAGAATACTCTTTCTATGATTCCTAATAAGATTGCACAGTTTTTTAAAACTAGAACATCCTGAAACATATACAGGCCATTCGTTCCGAAGAACATCGGCAACGCTACTGGCTAATACAGGAGTTGATGTATTCGCAATCAAGAGACATGGTGGATGGAAATCAGCCGCAATTGCAGAAAGTGGCAGTTAGTAAAAGCGAGGGGAATAATTATCCAGATTTTATAAATGTTACTAAATGTAATAACTGTACAATTACTATAAATATTCATTCATAATAATTAATAAAACGTAATGTTCATCAAATATTTGTACAGTATGCCATGTACTTGGAGCTGCTACAGTTTATTGTACTGATTTTTATACGGGGTGTCCTACAAATACTTACTCGATGATTCTAGCCTTGAAAATTGTAGAATATCAATTTTTATTCCAAAAACATTTGATTATGCGGATCTTAGACTAATTTTTTTATATTGACATCGTCTTTTGTTGTTGCAGCACGCCAACGCAGTCAAAGCGCAGGCGCAAGAGTACGTGGAGAAGAAGCAGGCCAAGAAGATCATGCTTAGGTCAATCACTGGGTCTCTAGCCACAGCTCAGGCCCTGGTCAGGATTCCAGATGTCAAATACTTCAACACCGCCAAACCGGGCACATTTTTTGCTAGGTGAGCCCTTTTCCCGCACCATGACTTAAATTTTTCTCAAAATGTGATCGGGTTTTGACGTTTTTCTTTATTTTCCAGAGATAACGTTAGCAATTTCATTAATTGGTGCCGATACTCCTTGGAGATCATCGAATGTCTTCTGTTCGAGACCGACGACTTGATTATGAGAAAGAACGAGAAACACGTCGTCCTCTGCCTGTTGGAGGTGGCCAGGAGGGGGGCAAAGTAAGCTCTTTCATTTAAAATTGACCACAAAAACTACGTAAAAAATTGTTCCCTAGGTTCGGCATGCTGGCTCCTATGCTGGTACAGATGGAGAGACAGATAGACAGGGAAATAGCGGCTGATCAGAAGAAACTGGGCGTAAATGACGGACTAGAGAACCAGAACGGCCTAGACGATGACAGTGACAGCGATATTGAAGACGAAGAAACGGTGCTCATGTACGGGCCCGTACCTCAGATCGTCACCAACGACCTAAAGAGCTTGGACGAAATGGTAAGTGATTTTCCGATTTAAAGGTTCAGTAAAGAATGAAATTTTCTTGCGATCTCAAAGCGGTGTACCCCAAAGTTCCATCCTTGGACCACTTTTGTTAAATATTTATGTACTTGTTTACAAAATAGCAAGGTCCACTTTTATGAACACTCAGAATTATTTTTCACTCGAATCAAAAGAAGTAAATCTTTCTAAAATTGCCTTAAATGTTATTAGTCGTTTGATTGAATTGTCTGTCAAACACCACCTTGACATCAATGGAACAAAATCTGTAGTGATATTCGGTAAACATAGAAAAAGAGTTTAATGTTAATAGTGAGGCCGAGAATTTACAGTGTACCAAGTAAACTTTAGACGCAGACTTGCGTTTCAAAAAACACGTTAACAAAAGCTCTACTGAAAAGTTACAAAACTCTTGGTTAAGGTTCATTTATGGCTTCAAGAAGTTTATTATAAACTTTCAAAGTATAACGAACGTTCGGTTGAGACCGCTGGACGCAGGAATGGTTCAATCGGACATATTCACGTGTCGTTGTGTAGGTTGGACGTTTCTCCGTCGAATAGAGGAAATGAACGTGAAAATTAAGTTTTCTAAAACACTAGGGTTTGCGTGTAAGACAGGCTGATCGATATATGATTTTCAAATGCAAAATTTAACAATGACGTAATAAATTGGGGTGAATACAGCGTTTTCGGTAGTTTTCAGAGTTGTTTTGTGATTCTTTTTTTCGTTTTATCGATTTCGAGCTACAAGGGGACTATTAATTTTTGGATATTTTCACTATTTCATGAAAACTACGTTCATTTCCAATGTGGCAAAAGTTAGTGGTGATTTCTACACAGGCAGTCCCAGTAGGAATCGATATCTCGGAAGGCACTGATCCGATAAATCTGAAAATTTGGCAACCCAGCAAAGGCAGTAAGGCCAACACAGCTAAAATATTTAGAACTTTATGGTACTTCCGGTTATATCGGATGTCAACATTAATTTTCTTATTTTAAATGGGACACCCTATATATTATTGCATTTTCGGATTCTATCTGAAATTTGAGGGTCACTTTATTAAATATTCCCTATACCTAGGAGTTATAGATTTTGAGATATTAATTTTTAAAGAAAAAATTTGACAGATGCAAGTGCTAGTAATTTTTTTTAGGAGCGTGATATCAAGCGGGTTTTTGGTACCTGTAAAGGGCATAGGTGACACTAAATTATGGTATACCAACAAATTAAAACATTTAATACTAGGTGGTTCATTTTTGCTGTTACATTTTGATAAACTCAAACAGCTATAACTTAAATGGAACACCTTGTATTTTTTTACTCTGTCGTATGCAGATTGAAATTTCCTTTCAAGTCATATAAACATTGTTAGGGTTGCCGTTAGTACTTTTAGAGATATCCGCAATTTTCTATTTTTTGGACAGTTTTTCTCGTATCAGACTCGTTATCAAATTGGCCATGACCAGAAACACTCCAAAAACAATTAAAATAACAACATTTGTCAAGTTTATTGTCAAATTATTGTTGCGTTTGTAATAGTTTTGCCGAAAATTTAATTAAAGATGCCTTAAAGATCGTTCGAAGTATACTAATGAGGATTATTTTAATTTGTTTGTTATTTATGGAAAATGTGAAAGTAATTTCAAGAACATGTAGAGAATATTTTTATATTTTTCATTTCTTTCGCCATAAAACTTTAAGGCCTATAATTTTTTGCAGAAGAAAAGTAAAGAAAGGTTATACTATGTAAATATCCCTGTTGTACATGGTACGACCTCTTATTTCATACTTACCTTGCCGAGTTTGATCAGTTCGCGAATTTAATGTAAAAGTAAATAGTTTTGATAATTTTACAAGCTGTATAAACATTACAAACCTTTTAAGGTATCGTAAACAAAGGATTTTTTAATGCTGTAATCACCTCGATAAATATTGACGCAAATTTAAATTAACAGATAACACGGAATTATCGGAGTTTACTTTTTCTAGTCACTTTTCTAAATATAAGAATTATTTCTTCCAAATTACGACATTTTTTTTTTTAATTAATCACAAATTACCATTTTTAAACGCGCGCCCCTGCAATTCGTGTGAATTACTTGCAGTAAACCCACAAGTCGTCCCCAAGAGTACAACTTGACAATCTCAGGGCCCGATGAAGCATAAAGAGGCAATTTGCGTGATATTTCAATTTGCTTATGATCGCTCCCAAGCCTTTCCATAGCATTTTGCAACGAGTCGAGTGAAGTCGAGTCGAAAATGAGAACAAAACGCGCTACCTTTACTCTTACCGCGTTTAGTAACCTTACCTTAAAGCTCCCCAGACCGCGAAACGCTCCTCCGACAAATTAACTTATTGCTTCTAATGTCACAACGATTTGCAGCGGCAATTTGTAATAATTGTCAACACGGCGAAATGTCAGCAGAGAAAATGTTGCGCACTACGGGTTTTCTAAAGGCTTTGGCCTCGTTGTTTTTTTTTTCGAAGCGATGGGAGGCCGTTTATATCTAAACAAAACGTCTGAATTTGGTTAGAACACGGGAAAATGCTTCAACAAAGTAAAAAAAATGGTCACTTGACAATATTTACAAGTAACTCTACTGTTTTATTGGCAATAGTCGTAATAGTCCAGGAAAATAAGGAAAAAATGAGCGAACTTCTTTACTCTGAGGTTTTTTCCGCCTTTTTATGTCCAACTTTCCTGGACTATAATGCAATTAATGTCTGTGAAGGTTCTGACAATTAATAGATAGTAAAACTACAATAGCAGCATATAAAGCACCTGTTTACTAGTTTTATAACGGTTCCCAGCGGAGACAGTTCCAACAGTGAATGTACAGGGCGTTAAAGAAAAGTGTAAGCAGAGTACCAAGAGATAAGAGGGTGGGATGTTATCATGCATTTAAAATCGCTGTCTTGCGTTATCTAGTGTTAAAAGGGAGGGTTTTCTATTACTTTATCTAAAATTATCTCTTCTTCTTCGGGTATGGTCTTCCAGAATCCATAGGGCTGTTACCAAACATTCCATCCTCTTGGGACTGCTCGATGAAGTACGGTGAGAAAAAGGAACTGGATGCTTAGGATACAAGTTTTAACATTTATACGAGCTTCAACACCATTACCATTAGCACGACCCTGCACAAAAGGATTGCCTGTCATGGCACAATTTCTGTATTATTAAACGACTTTACAACACAAGCAAATAATAAAAATTTAAGTAAAGGTTAAAAAGTTAAGACTGATCTTAGGCGAGCGGTTCACCCCTAATAAAAAGGCATGAAGCGACTAAATTTTTAAAACAAAAACCTACAGCATGAAACGTTTTTATTTTATAAAGTTTATTTTTCTGATAATTTACATATTTTTTTATAATTTTCGGCGTGGTCAGTCAATTGTTATATACAAAAAAGTTAAAAAAAAATATATTCGCCGAATGGCTTTGAAAATAATAAAATGGACCAAAATAAACACTTTTTGTTCTTTGACAAAAATTCGAAAAATGCTTCGTTTCCAAGATATTTACAATTTAATGTGAAAAAACTGATGAAATCGACAAACTTGCGGAATTTTTTTCTCAAAAACTACTGAGCAGATTTTAATTCTAAATAAAGCATAATAATCGGCAGATTTTCTACTTTAAGATCTGTTTTTTTTGGTATGGGGGTCAATCATTTTATTGAAGGTCTAAAGCGAGTAAAAAAAAGTATTTTAAAGAAAATTATGATAACACTTCAAATTTAAATTTCCTTTTTACAATATCTTGGACTAGATTATATTTACAATGAACATAATTATGATTTTTTTAAATCGATATATGTTAACAGTACAAATGTTCAAAAGATCATTTTGTTTAGTTTTGTAGCCGGAGTAAGGTTTTTGCAAGTAATTGGTTAAATTTAAATATTCTATTGTTGGTTTTATAGATGGCTAAAATTGACTTGAAAATTATACCAAAACTAAACTAAATAAGATTTTTAAATCGTAAAATTAACCTAATAATAA